TGTATATATTATAATCGTCTTCCCGAAACAAGCTCTGGCATTTCACTGAAATGTCTTATCAGACTGAATACTTACAGTCGTGTACCGTAGCCTAAATTTATCTTAGTACGAGAACGACTCGTAACAAAAATTTGCTTCATTGGTTCCGATCAAATAGAATTGTGTAAGCAATAACCGGAGGTTGTCGGTAATAATTCTTTGTACAATGCAGATAGCAAGAAGTGATGATACAATAACTTTTACTGTGTTGGCATTTGTTGTTCCACTTAGTGAGAACTTAAAACTTTTGATGTGGTTTTCCTGTTTTATTTGTATGGAAACAAACAGGAAGAAGGACAGATATTACTTGAATATTAGATCATTTAGCTGAAATAATGCGTAGTACGTCAAGCACTGGACGTTCATTGTGGACTGTGCGCTAGTGGAAATCCATTAAGTTCAAACCACTTGAGGATGTCTTGGATATTGATGGTTTGACAATGCTTTTGTCCATGACACCTTTCAGATCAAGAATACCGAAAGCCAAGTCAAACCAGAGGTCAGGAATGAAGAAGATCAAAAATATATTTCTAAAGATGGTTAAGATATCGATAGTGGATGTGCCACAGCTACGGTATGTTTAGTAAGACTAATGAGGTTGTGTGTTGGATACAACACATTTATTGAACGTTGAAATCCTGGAAGATAACAGCTGACCATAAATTTTCGTAGTTTGTTTCTGATTTTTATATTGAATAAGAAAGATGACTCATTAGTGTTACGATATCATTTCATTTTTTCAGAGAAGCTGACAAACCGAATCGATTCTCACAATTAAAGGATTGAAATCACAGTGATTTCGTAGTTGTAAACTCTCTAATAATTTCATGAGATCATTGAGTTATTTATATCATTTAAAACTCAATTCTATAACATCATTTATAATCCCAACATCTGCAAAATTACTTATATGTTATTTTTGTAACTTCAGAGCGACTTGTACATTTGGTATTAGTGGGGACATAAGAATAGAACAGAAGCTGTGTTGTGACTGGAACTGCGATTCGATAAGGCTTAAAGCAAGGAAGAAGATAAGTACAGTAATAAAAGAAGATTTATTCGTTTATTCAAAAGCCAAATACTTCATCTCCATATCAATACACTCATTTATATATGAATATACATTCGCTAATTATGGTTTAACGAGCTAATCACAGTAAATTTAATACAATTAAAAAGGCTGCGCTAACAGGTGAACAAGAAGGCAGATCAGTAAAACAGCTAATCAGAACATTAGAACTAAATCTGAGTGAATGTTTGGGTAAGCAAATTTATTAATATTAGTTGCTTTAACCACTGATCTTGGAGATTCTGAAAGCGTTTGGCAATCGAAGGATTAATTTATTCATCCCTCTAGATTTACTGTGATCCTATTTGACATCTGATCACTGTAATTGGGAATCAGTTGCATTACATAATATTATAGCTGACCAATCAATCATTTGGTGTAACTGTCATCTAGATTTTAAAAAATGTGCTATTTTTATTAAAAATTAAACGTAATTATTAACCAACATTGAATATTATTACTGAATACTTATTTAATCCATTAACTAGTTTGTTAACTAATACACAAATGATGATGTCATTTCAATTAGCTTGTCAGTAATTCGCAAAGCACAACTGTTTAAATTGACAATATCAATGTTTCACTAAAGCAAAACTATGAAAATTTATAAAACTTGATGAAATTATTCTTAACATAAATGTTAAGAAAGGCTATTAGTTCAACTTCTCAATTCTGCTCTATTGTACTCGCCGTCGACGCTTTTATTGAGACATTTTCATTGTTTTTCTAAATGATACCAAGTTAAAGACAAAAACTGTCTTTAAGATTTGTAATTACCAGAGATTCAACTTATTTTACTTTCATTGTATTATTTTACATGACAAAAATTTTATAATTATTTCTTCACTTCTTATGAATATCGCACAGGTGGTCGTTTGATTATATGAACATCTTTAGGCCCTTAAGTTAATTTTACTGTGAGCGAGTGAGCCATGAATATAAATTCTCGCTTTGATTTTGTTTTTAAGGTATTTTTTGGGTTAACACTGATAGAATGACGGCGGTAATAAAAAGTCAAATACGAATAAGGTTGGACGAATTTATTTCAGACTCTCATGTAGAATCCATTTTGAAAGCTTTGTTTTGGGAAAATTCTTCTATGTATATATTTGTAATATGTTCTTATTGACTCTTTCTGTTCAATATTTTGGTACTCTGTTTAACCCCATTTTGGGATGTTAACATTTGTATTTTATTATAGTTTCTATTTTTTGTACCTTTATTGGAGTTTTTATGTTTTCTACTGAACTGTATTATGTTGTTTAAATTGATACTTAATTATAGCGCCAGCCATATCGGATTTGACATGCTGGCGGATGAAACGTACATCGGGACTGGAAGGGTGCAATTTTGGATCTAAACAGAAGCATTCATCCAGAATTGGAAACAAATTGTTTTAAATTTGACTTACAACAATGTAATATTGTTTAGGTAACTATCTGTACCTTTTAATTAATGATAGAACCTTCAAATTCGGATATCCAGGCAAGGCGCGTACCTAAACTTCCAGAACTGTTTTTCCGAATTCAGAATCCACTCTAAAACTCACATCTCATTTGTTAAGAAGAGTGAGGTGAAAGACTAATGCACTAACCCCATGAATAATAAATGACTCTCTTGATATGTATGAACGAGATACAAATAAACATTCAAACTAAACACACTAACATGCACACACGTATATGACATGATGAAGGATACAGGCGAATAACTGATAAGGTCAAACATAAATGTTTTACGACAAACGAAAAGATTAAACTAATTGATCTGTTCAAACGTTACAACAAATCACGTAGGCTTATGATGACAGACATTTACTGCACAGTGAATAACCACACCAACTCAAACTCGGTAAATTGTACAGTCAAAAATTAAGTATATAAGCGAGTTGAGTTCTTAAGCCATTATGATGCCCTATCTATGTGGTATAAAACCGGAAAAAACCATAATTTTCTGTTGCCTATTAAAACTGCCTTGAATCTAATAATAGAGCCTAATCTACACGAATAAATCCCACGTATCTCTATGAAAGTCAAAGTTTATCAATGAAATAGCTCTCAATTATTAATTAGTCTTATGTAACTCAATATTTAAATCCATGTTCACATACCTTGTTTCTAGAACAACACTTACTATCTGGTTGGTGTTGATTCACTGCTGAGCTTCCAGAAATTGAATCGATAACTATGCAGTACAACCTGACGTGTTAGAGGAACCAAGTGATATCACTAGCTGTCATACGCACAACATTTACAGTTGATTCCGCAAACGTCTGTTTAAAAATTGAGTGCAGATATTCTAAAATAATTATTTGTTGGTGAGATAGTAGGAGCAGCCTTAGCAGCAGTGATTTTCAACATACATAAAGGTAAAAGCAAGATTCCCCGAAACACCACAACATGCGCTAACCAAATCACACTTGATGGAGTTGTCTTGAAGGACGTAAAAACCTTTACATACCTGGGCAGCATAATTGACAAGCAAGGTGGATCTGATGCCGATTTGAAGGCGCGGATCAGCAAAGCAAAGACAGCATTCCCACAGTTGCCACTCAAAACAACTATCCACTAACACCAAACTCAGAATTTTCAATACAAGTGTCAAAACAGTTCTAATCTATGGGATAGAAACTTGGAACACTAATACAGCCATCATCTAGAATATACAAGTGTTTATTGACATTTGGCTACGCAAGATACTGAGGATCTGTTGGCCACACACGTACTGTAGGAGAGAACAAACCAGATTCCAGTAAAGAAGTAGATCAGCGAGAAGCGGCGGAATCGGATAGGACATACACTGTGCAGAGCACCCACCTGCGTCACAAGACGTGCACTAACTTGGAACCCTCAAGGTTAAAGACGAAAAGAAAGACAAAAAACACGTTACGCTGAAAAACTCAAACAGACATGAGAGGAATGAACAAATGTTGGACAGAATTAGAAAGGAAGGCTCGGGACACAGTAGGTCGCATAATGCTGGTTGACGGCCTGTGCTTCAATGGGGGTAGCAGGCGTAAGTAGGTAATTGGCAGGAGGAAATACCCTCAGTAACCATAAACCAATGCTTTCTGTTTGATAAACGAAATTAGAATAATTGCACTGTACAATGTCTTTGTTTGTGAACATTAATTTAAATAACAAATGTTTACAAAATAATTAAGCGTATATATAAATCAGTAAAACATCTTGTGACAAAAGTTTGTACAAATCTCAAGATTCAATTTCATAAACTTCACAAAGTCTTGCATCCATTAAATTGCTTACCCCAAGTCAATGTGGAAACAGCTGGTCAATAAACTAAATCATATTTATTGGCAGTCAACAAATCTAACATCGGCTTAGAAAACATTACATTGTAAAAAGTTTTTGAAATATCTTTATAATTTTTAAGTTTTTGCCGTGAATTTGGATCTACTCACGAAGCTTCCAGTCTGAAATTAGCTCACTGTAAGTAAAAAAACTGAAGTATTAGATAATTCTTAAAAAAAATGAAATTCGTTTATAACAACAAATGGTTTCTCTAGTAAAACTAATATGAAAATATCAGTCACTGTATGTTGATCAAAATCTTGCACTAATAATTCATTACATGGTGTAACAAACTACGTTCTACTTTCTAATCATTACATTAATAGATATGATAATAAGTTGACTTCAAAACTTTCTTCGTTTCCTCAACAAAATGCAACACTCCTTAACGGTGAAATTTAACATCCAAATCAAGTAACCTTTATCTATTTGGCTCAGAAATCTGATTGGCTCGTTAAAAACAACCATATAAAAAGTCTCTTTTCCAGTAGTCCAATCAGATTGTAATAATTGTTTTATTGTTTATTTTTCAAATTAAACAACTAAATAATAAATATAGATACTTCTCATTTATTTTGTTAATGATGAATAAACGTTTCCGGCATTTTAATTCCTCTGTGATACCATTTTGTATTATAATCATTTGTTTAATCTACGGTGAAATTATACATCCATATATTACATTGAATGTATGGAGATTGCCTAATAACAAGTTAGCTCTATTGAACTACTCGATTCTAATATTTTCAGACCAAACGAAGATGAAGTAAGAATTCTACTTGTAGCCGATTCACACATTGAAGGTTATCATTCAGCTCTATGGATTCTAAATGAAATATTACAAGCTGACAGTGATGAGTAAGTTGAAAATAACTATTTAAAAAATTACAAAACTATAATGATATACTAGTTATCTTCGATTTTATTACTCAAAAGCTGTACAACGAACAAATTCTAATGGTGTGATCTTTTTAGGAGATCTTTTGGATACAGGAGACACGGCAGTCAATACAGATTTCATACATGCAACATCACGTTTTCGAAAGATATTTCTTTATGAGAAAGATTTATTTGTATGCAAAATTTTTCATTGTGATAATTTCATTGTAGATTATTTTAACACCTGGAGATAATGATATCGGGGGTGAAGGAGTTCCTGTGACACAAAATTTATTCACTCGTTTCTTTGTTAATCTACCTGTGAAACATGAAAATTACAAATATAAATTTGTCAATTTTTATTCAGTAACTATTAAAATTTTGTATAATTTTTGCTTAAGGATTATAGGAGACCTAAAATCACACCTGAAATTTCAAATGAAAAGTCTTTCGATGAAATTAATGTCTATGTCAGTCATTTACCAGTTATCTCACATCAATATATTCGATTCCCTGTAACTTTGTTGAAATCTAATGCCTCGTTGAGTATTCATGGTCATCTTCATAGAGTGAGTTATTTCGTGCAAAAACTTAATTGTACTATATAATGTAAATCAGCGTTTATTTATATTGTTTTAATGCTATATAAAAAATGTCTAGTGAGACGACTAACTGTCAAATTTCTCTAGTGGTAGTTTCTAGTGGTAATGGAATTCTGTCAATCGAAGTACCAGTCAGAATCTCTTAAAATTGCCAACACTAGGTTTTAATATAATGTGCATCAATAGGAAAATTCTTAAATGCTCAAGATGAATTATTTATGAACCAAATAGAAACAAAAGAAAACATTTTACTCATTAGGTTATCAAATAATTGACATAACAAGTATTCATACAAATCAATCATGTTGACTAATTTGCAAATTAATGTGAATGTTTAGTTTTGATAAAAATTTCATCTCCTTCATGGACACCATTTTAATGAAGGTTAAAGTTTTTTTTCTTAAATGTTATAGATTGATAAGTCAAATGATACTTTACTTTACTTTGTAGTACATTAAAGTGTGAACATAATTCGTTATCGAAATTGTCAGTACAATTTATTTAACAACAAGTGAATTTGGTGCCAGAAATAGATGGTGGCTAGCAATGGTATTATAGTTACTAAAATATCAAATATTATTATAAGGTGATTGGAAATCATTGACAAGATACCCTAAATTAAAATTTCGTAATAGTCAGCACTCGTCACCAATGCTTGTCTACAATCTTACAGAAACTGATACTTTATTATGGGTTTTAGAACCGCGTTACTCAACCTCCTAGTTCCAGACATTTGTCGAAATTGAATTTTTATCACTTACTTCACAGCAGGTGCATCCAGCTGACTAAGGCAGAATAAGACAAAATGAGCTTCCTGGATTCCATCGCTAGCCACCATCTACTTCTTCTACCAACTACACTTGTTGTTAAATAAATTGTACTGACAAATTAGATAACAAATTATGTTCACACTTTTGTTGTTCTGTAATAAAAGTGAATATATTAGATCCTGTTCTAATAAAGTACAGTTTAACTTACCAATCAATAAAATTTAAGAAAAAACCTTAACTTTTATAAATTTTTAATTTTAGCATTATAATTGGATGCAATTTCTTTTAGCTTGATAAATAATTCATTTTGAGTATTTAAGAATTTTATCAATGATAAGTAAGTATATGGGCAGAATGTAAATTCGTGCATGATAACGTAATAATGGCTAATATTAGAGGGAAAGATAAAATCTAATCCGTTCTCATCTTATGTATTCTCAAACCAAAACTACATACACCTTAAAAAGTTTATTTAAACATCAGCTATTAAATAAATATGTACAAGGCAATTTTCTAAATATTCATAGATGAGCCAGTTAAAAACAAAAGTCTATTGAAAATTTACCGCTAGTAGAAAAGTGACACTAACATTGGTTACTATCGATTCATGATGTCATGTCAAAATCAAGTGTCAACCGAAAAGTAATTTTAAGGATTTTAATTTTTCTGACCTTAATGATGATTTATGTGTCATTTTATCAAAAATTACCGATCGATAAACCATGGTAACGTATTTTTGAGAAGTAAAACAATTACATATATTTTATTGATTCAATGTAACACACACTAATGTCCGATTTTTGTGTCTGTTTTCGATGAATATATATATATATATATATATATATATATATATATATATATATATATATATTCATGTTTCCGCTGTTTGCCAGTTATATTTTTATATTTGAAAAATATACAGATAAAAACTAGTGTTCATTATTGTACAATGAATGGAGATGAAATAGCTTTATCGATTATTCGAACATATTTTGAGGATAAAATTTTTTAATTACAAACTGATATTATTTTTATAATTGTCAAAAAGTAAGGAGCATTAAACAACTTTCTCCTCTATCCAGCGATCCGACAGGCTGAAAGATAACGAAGATAAATTCAAAAATTGTAAAACATTGTATTCTGGTCTAATGACAGAGATTTGTTGTGTTGATTAATTTTAGTTCAATAACTAGTATAGTCTGGTATGTGTGCTGATGAGGAGATATCAAACAATTAAAATACATTAGTTTTTATTAAAACCAGTTTGTGATGGAAAGCTATCCTCATTAGATGAATTTCATTAACATTTTGAAATAGACTTTGACAGATAGTGATAACAATCAAGAGCATAGAAATCCTCCTGTTTTTTTTTTAGTGAAGAGATTATTACTCGTCAACGGCACTGAAGGAAAATACAGTGAAACTTTGAAACATTGACGATTGTATTGTTTGAAAACTGAATCAATCACTACGTTTGCTTTCTTAAATAAACTTACGATCTGAAATAAATCTGATTTAGAGGTTAGAGATAATTATCTGTTCATCATTTTGATGGCTTACCACAGTAAAACGTCATATTTTGATGTGCAAAAAATAAAACGTATTCAACACTTCGTGTTCACCTTCTCATTTAAAACGGTCAGGCGCTACTTGGTAACGATTGTCTGTACGAGCAAATTACGAAGTCCAGGAACACGTTGGATATCGACCGTCACCAGATTAGTGATACCTTGCATACCACATAATTGGTGAGCCCGAGGACAAATCGAACACTGTCAACTAATTGGTAATCTTGACGTAGAATCGAGCGCAACCACTAACTGGTAATCCAGACGCCGTAAATCGACAAAGTAGCTCTGAAACTTAATGAATTTGCTGAACGAATCAAGCATTATCTTATCATCATTTCAATTACATATCAACTCGTCACCTTAATATATTTCTCGAATTATTGTATTAAAGTGAAAGAACTATTATTTTGATTCATGATGAGATTATATTATGGCGATCATGGAGTTGGCTCACTAGCCTTCTCCACAACTTCACTCCATCTGCTAATTCGATTGTTAGTGTGCTTGCCCTGCTTTGTGTGTTTTTGGTCTCCTGGTCCATTTGTGGTAAGCAAAAATAAACATATTCAACACTTCGTGTTCACCTTCTCATTTGAAACGGTCAGGCACTACTTAGTAACGATTGTCTGTACGAGCAAATTACAAAGTCCAGGAACACGTTGGATATCGACCGTCATCAGATTAGTGATATCTGACACACCACAATATCATGTTATTATGTTTTGAAAATAAATTTCTTTTTTGAATAACTCATTCATAGAATATAATAACTGGTATTCATTTTTTTTTCAAAAAATTATTTTCTTCATTTGTCCCTTACACAGAGTCAAATTATACATTGGAAAAATATTAAAAATTTAGAAAATGCCCAATCCAATGTTACATGGATTCAAACTCCACAATTTTCAAATATATTACCACAGTCGATCAGCTTCAAATTGAATGATAATTTAAAATTTTTGAAAATTAAAGATCAATTTACACAAAAATATCAAGTCAAAGTATATGGTGAATTAATTTCCATCGGTGTACCATCATGTACTTATCGTTCAGGTTATCCTCATTTGGCTGGAATTGGTTTATTACAATTATATAGAAATAAATCTGTCGTTTATACAGTACTCCCATTACATAATCGTTATTATACATTGTTTATTTATTGTTTCATTATTACTTCATTGGTTGGATTAAAGTTCATTGTCTATTGTACTAATATTTTAGTAAATTTTAAATGTTTACGAAATATTTTCTTTTTAATTACAATGATTTTACTATTCCTAGTGATTTATCATGAATTGGAAGTATTTATTCAAATTGGAAAATTATTTTGACCATATGAAATGATGGTTGTTTGTTTGTTTGTTCGATTTTTTTTTGTAAAAATTATTGATTTGACATGTAAATTTCCATTTATTTTTGTATGATTGTTGTTAGTAGTACTTTTTGAAAATTAAAATACTCAGGGAATGTAACATTTTTATGACTGTTTGTATTTGTTTTTTTTTTGTTTTTATTCACATGTCTTGAAGATTTTATTGATTTTATTCATTGAAACAAACTGTTTGTTACGTAAGCATATACTCCTGTGATCTACATTATACGTTCAGATTGGAACATTGTTATTTCTTATTGTTTCTTCCATATACTACTTATGTCTATGATATAACAGTAGCATGAATGAATTGTAGTCTACATGTTAATGTGGAATAAGTTGATTACAGATAGAAAAAAATAATTTATTCATGAATTCATGAATCGATTTGTTTATATTTATTAAATGATAAAAAAACTGATAATTTGAATATGTTTTCAATTGAAACAATCATGTCGATGATTCATTTTTCTATGAGATTGTACATTTTTCTATATTTATTCAAAAAAAACACACAAACTTTATCATGAATCAAACAAAACAATATTCTGTCTTATAAGAAATGTTTCAATTTTTATTTTTACTTTTCAAAGTACAAATCAATACGGTTATATACATTTTGAATGAGTGTTGTTTAAGCGACGCCATAAGATATTCGTAAACATTGTTCAATCATTTAGTTATACATGTTATAAGTCACGAATCGACATGAATCATTGTTATCATCTGATTAATTAGTTTACTCTAATTAAATACTCCTTGATATCACAGACCTACATCTTCTCGAGTTATAGGATGAAAATCTGTCAGGTTACATAGAAAGCTCTTGTCCTTTAGATCGTTCATTTGAAATATAAAGACAAACATTTACTTTGATCAATTCATGATTACATATGATAATCATTCAGTTTCATAAGTTTTCACTTGATCATTTACGATTCAGCTGAAATAATAATTACACCAGATTCTAAGGAAAATATATCAAAGAATTTCGATAACTTCTGAAAGACAATTTTACGATACAGGGTTTTTGAGTTTGATTTCTAGATAGTACACAACAATATCAATCTATGAAGAAAAATGAGGCAAAAGGAATCAATAATTGTGATTTCAATGAAACTATGAATTCAGTCAATTAAAAGGTGATTTGTCAATGGATGCAGTATTTTCATTGTTCTCTGTACAGATTCAACCACTGACAATGAATGATGATGATATTATGAATTTTTAACACTACACAAGTAACGGTATTAGATTTGAAACATTAAAAGGCATGAGCAGTAGCTAATTCATCTGTCCCCAAATACCCTGCTACATCCAAGAACGAACAAAGCCCCCTCCTTGTTGAAATGAAATGCTTAAATTTCTCGACAAGTATATATACACTAACACGGAAGTCCTACTGAATGTCTTTGTATAGCCGTTTTTACGAAATTAAGAGAATGAGAAACAAATATCCGGTGTTCAAGCCAGTTTGGTGAGTATGAAGGAATCGAGCTATGGAATATTCTCTGTTTAACGTTAGTATGAAGACGATCAAAGTAACTTATTAAGATATCAGTTAAAGTATAAGTAGCGTTTAGAATTTCGGCACAATAAAGCGCTTGATTTAAGTTTGTAAAATATAACTGACAAAATAGTAGCCTAAGTGATTTTCGCAGATTGAATTATCGAAATTATAGAATAGCTCATTGGTTTTTTATAAACTTCTTATAATTAGCTTCTATCCGATTGTAAATTTTATTCAGGCATTTTATTCTAAATTAAATTCATTCACATTAGCTTGATAATGGATACGTTCACACTTTCTATATAATTTTAACTACATAGAGTTCGTAGGTGAAATTATTTAACCTAATCAATAATAAGGGAATATAACTCTCTTATAGATAACTAGATTTACCAATAGTACTTCTTGAATTGGGCGTGGTTTGGAAAAATTTTTACAATTTATGAACATTTTTGAATCTATGGGAATATTCTATTAGTTTATTCATTTGATATTTGAAATGTCATGAAAGAAATCTATTAGGCTCATGACCTTGATAGATTGTTGAAGAAGTATGTCATAGAAGTATGATGTAATAGTTTAGGGAATATCAAACTGCATAAGTAGATTGTTGAATTCAACAGGTCATTTCTATTGGAATGCCTAATTCATCATTTGATTAATACATCTTGATCAGCATATACCAACCATTGAATATTGGCTGATGTGATGAGCAATGTCGTACATACTACGGAACATGAAATTCTTGGGGTATATTCTATATTCGATTCGGTTTACATCAATTAGGATGAGAACAAAATAACAAGATTCCAAAAAATATATATCAATAAACTACAGAACTAAAAAGGGCAACTCGCGGAAGATAGGTATTGACGGAAAGAAAGAGAAAATGTGGAGACGTTCAACTAAATCTCTATGTTACAATCACTACGATAATCAGTAAACGTTTAGCAACGTTGTTTGACGGACGAATATTCTGTTTTGCATACATCCCTCAGTTGCTATATTCTATCTCAAGTCAAAGATGTTTTACTTACATCCGACAGTCATCACTCTTTACAGAGTGCAAAGAAGAAACCTAAGTATTTAAAAATTATCTTGAAGATAATTGAGTTTGAAGACGCTAGAAGACTGTAATTAGTTTTACTCTTTCAAAAGGTACTGCGAAACATTATAACACTGGAAAACGATACAATAATAATAATAATAATAATAATAATAATAATAGTAATAATACAGAACAGATGAAAAGTACCTAGTAATTATATCCAGAGCACGAGTTTTATCCCATTTGTGACTTCTAATCTGGATGCACCTGCATCCCAGAGGTGATGTTCACTCCAGAACTAGAATCCAGAAACTCTGACTTCAAACACTAACTTGCTGTCCACTGAAAAACTGACTTTGTTTACTGATTAACTTGTTTAAAAGGTATGCTGTTTATATCATTATTAATAAGTTTAAGTTATTCCGTTATTAAAATTTTGACTGAAATTTGATAAGTTTTAATTGGTATATGTGAATGCTGTGAGGATTACTCTGATAAAACTAACAAGTTCACTCCTAGCCACATCCTATCTATATTATATATATATATATATATATATATATATATATATATATATATATATATATATATATATATATATATATATATATAGTAGTTTCATAATGGCTATACCGAGGCAGTCCTCATGGGGTCGACGAATACCAATTAAGACTTACAATTCGCAGTCAAACTTTCATCAACAGAATAATCCAAACTACTACTCTTACTCCTACTCCTACTCCTGATATTAATACCAATAATAAAAATATATTTGTAGATGTCCACGCTATATTTGTGAATACTATTATTGTTTTATCTTAAAATAAGAATGACATTTCAATACTGTCGTTGAAGAACTGTACAGCTAACGGGTAATTATTGCATATCGGATGTAATCAAAATATAAATTCATGTTTTTGTCATTGTTGTTATCATTACTATGTCTCATAAGAGTAATTCAATAAATATCCTAGTTTCAGAGTTGATGTCTACTTAATGAACGCTGAATGTGATTTCCTACCCGCTTTTAATAACTCCAGATCAAATCTACACGAGAATTTGAACACAAGAGAAAAAGAGCAAAGTGCAAAAGGAGCACTTTACTCTTTTGTTGGTTCATGTACAGAAAAACGACGAAATTCATAGAGTTACAAATGACCATGGGCCTCTGGAAATTTTCAGAACCTTACTGAATATCGAAGCGGTATCGGCAAATATCCAGTCAAAATGGTACTACGTGATTCTTCACTTTCTAGATACATTTATGAGGGTCCTACTTAACGCTGATTAAATAAAACGTTCCCAAGAGTACCCTCGGCTCCTAATAAACTATTTCAAGAAATATTTTACAGCTCCTAAACAAAATACATATCGGAAGAATGTAGGTAATAATAATTATTTTAGTAGAAAAATTTCACAGATTTTAACTAATTCAAACCATATTCAGTAAATAAAAGTAGAAGGACAATGAAGTGGTAGTGAATCCACTCGACCAAGTTAACGATTCGTATTGGTTTAAAATTTATTAACAGTGTTTAAAAACGACAGGAAACTTTCATGTCGTATTGCCATCTTATTATTCAAGCTAAGTGAGAAGCTAATCACATATAATTCAATCAGTTATTTCAATTATAAAATCATCTTTTCAATTTATCAGCTCCAAAATCATCTCATATTGGAATGGAATTGATATGAAGCACTTAGATAATAAACTTTATAAAAATAGACTTATCATAATTTTCATTTTACAAGTTATTTACACGATAAAATAGTAGTGTCTGATTGGAAACTATTGAAAATTAGATAATATCTGAAATGCTTTATTGTTACGGCATATCATTTGTCAGTCATTTAGTGTTGTAATATTCTCTGAATTCGATAGTTTGTTTTATGAAATATTCACTGTTGCTTTCAATCACATTATCTACATCTGTCTCATACAATTCAAATTATCAATGTAAACATTTCGATTAGTTTTGTTATTACGCATGTGAATAATCACTAAAACAGATAGATATTTTAATCAAATCACAAAAGCTTAGCAAGAATAAAATGATATGTAATTCTCACGATAGGATTGTGAAGGTTATTGAGTTTTATTGAAATCATGGATTGATCAATGTTAGACCACTATTAGAAACTTGAAAACACTGGAAGGCGGTTTCGTTCTAGTATAGAATTCATCATCGATGTGTATCCATGACTCGCCCACGCGGGAATCGAACCGAAGACCTTCGATCCCATAAGCAAACGCTTAACCTCTAGACCACTAAGTTGACATTCAACGGCGTTAATGTGTAAAGTCAAGCAACCCACGACACCTACAAGCTTGGTGGATGTACACTGTTAATGAGCCACATACTACAGCGAAACGGCAGGCTAGTGCTTCCAGATTTAGAAA